CTCCTTCCTCAGTCATTTCCCGTTTTGTATGTGTGCAACTGATTGTTCCTTCCTATGTGGAGTACCTTGCATTTGTCCTTATTGAATTTCAACCTGTTTCCTTCAGACCATTTCTCCAGTTTGTCCTGATCATTTTGAATTTTAATTCCATCCTCCAAAGCACTTGCAACCCCTCCCAGCTTGGTCTCGTTTGCAAACTTTATAAGTGTACTCTCTATACCGTTAGGAAGACTGAACGTCTAGTTAACTGTAACATGAAACCATTTTAGATTGGGGGAAGATTCAGTAGTTAATATCTGTACAGTGCTTTGGATATGTAAAGCACTATTAAAGTGCTAAGTGATACTTAGTTTCAGTTTATTAAAAAATATATTTAACAATGTCAATAAAACAAAGTCCTCAATGACTGAGTAATGATTGAGGTTTTGTATGTGTTTACGTGTGCAAAACCGACATCAGACATTCAAGCCAGTAAAGAGCAATAAACAGGAACAGCATAAGAAACAGTAATGACAATTATCAGAGGGGTAGCCGTGTTAGTCTGAATCTGTAAAAAGCAACAGAGGGTCCTGTGGCACCTTTAAGACTAACAGAAGTATTGGCGCATAAGCTTTCATGGGTGAATGCCCACTTCATCAGACGCATTCACCCACGAAAGCTTATGCTCCAATACTTCTGTTAGTCTTAAAGGTGCCACAGGACCCTCTGTTGCTTAGTAATGACAATACGTTCTATAGCACGTTTTAATTGTAGTGTGGTTCAGAAACTAAATTAAGCCTTAACACCTGTGTATAACCTTTGTTCGGCCCTGCTATGCATTTACATTATGATGCTGTTGTCAATGACATGATCATATACTGTTTTTTTTTCCCATGGGACTCCTGCCTCATCAGTGCACAGGATGGACACAATCAAGAGGCAGAGGCAATACTAAATCTGGCATTTCCTAACTTTTGAATTCTTGACATTGAAACCTAAATAACATTCTTTTAGTATAGTTTTTAATGAAATGTATATCTATATATCTGTTCAGAATCCAGCATTTGTAGCACCACAGATACCTGACATGGAAGTCAAGTATCAGAGGGGTAGCCGTGTTAGTCTGGATCTGTAAAAAGCAAGAGAGAGTCCTGTGGCACCTTTAAGACTAACAGATGTATTGGAGCATAAGCTTTCGTGGGTGAATACCCACTTCGTCAGATGCAGAAAGCTTATACTCCAATACTTCTGTTAGCCTTAAAGGTGCCACAGGACTCTCTGCTGCTTCTAACATGGAAGGCATCTATCACTCAGTTGATCAATATCCATTTAATATATGTCCGCTACCTAACTCCTGTACTCTCTCCCGTTTCCAGTACCTTTCTAGTAGCTCTCCCATTTGTGAACAGCAAATAACAAAACCCACTGCTGAGTGCTGGAACTCTAGTGCCAACTGCTTAATGCCAGGTGGAGACAGAGGACAACTCTTCAGGAAACCCTCCCCTGTCACAAATGAAAAATACAATTCTGCAGTGAGACAGGCTGTTTGCTTGGTGACCCCATCCCAAAATAGAGAACAAAGCTTTATGAATTACACGAGTGACCCTGTAGTTGACTATGTTCCTCTGAGTAAATATGGGCCATGAATCAGGACACAGTGCATTGTTTCAGAAAACAATACTGTGCTACAAGCTGAAGAAGATCCAGCCCTCTGCAATCCTCTTGTCTAGGGAGCCTCTCTCCTCCACAGAATGTTTTGGCTTGGCATTCAGGCTCCCTCAACATAGAATGCAAATACAAAGAACAGCAGTGCTCAGTGTCAGGGCCAGCACCATGGGTTTGAAGAAGTGAAGGATTTTCCATGCAAAATTCCAGCTCAGCTGAAGAGCTGAGAAGATTCCTTGCAACTGTAAAGATTTTCACTCAGTATTAACTCTGCTGCTCATAAAGGTAATGTGCAATCAAGAGCAAGGACCCTAATATAGACTCTCTTATTAAACTTACTTTTAATGTTCTCACTTGTTAGAAGCTTATATTTGATAGGAAAGATTTAGCTTCCAACAGTCTGCAGGCTCCATACAGGTGCTTAAATGCTATGAGGATAGGTGCTCAACAATGCTGGAAATAGATGGCTTGATTACATAGCAATGGATTGGTATCTGTATTGATTTATATGTACCAAATACAACTACAATTGCCCATCCAGTGCTCTGGGCACCTATTCCATAAATTAAAAATGAGCTCACATAAACAAAGGACTGCCCGTACATAGCTCCATCTCACCCCACACCCTACTTAACGTCCTTATGAAAAGATGGGCTTTGTCGCCCAGGTGTAAGCCATTTCAAGTTGAAAGGAAATATTGTTTTGGTGTTTTCAGTTCATGGTAGCCTTACAAATGTTGTTCTTCGAATGCATTTTTAAAAACTGTTTTGCCAATATTTAGTATGTTATGTGGAGCAATTTCTGTACTGCTAACCCAGGCAGGCAAAAATCATGAATTAGGGCCAGAAGAATCATGAGATAGTCTTAGAAATCATGGGATTTTTAACAAATGATAAATGGGACATTCTTTTGATTTCTGAGCTTTAGCGTGCATTTGGGTTATATTTTCCGGCCTTTCTCTGCAACTGTGAAGAACAGAAACTTGCTTAAACAAAACAAAGCCCACCCCTGAGCTTCTCATGAAACAACATCTCCAGAAGTTGGAGCTTTGAGAAAAAAATATTAAATATCACAAGGTTGGTGATAAAATCATGAAGATTGTTAATACTGCAATTAATTTGCCCAGGACTGAAAAATAATATTTTAAAAAATATATTCTATAAAATTACAGCACTTAGATCCTGGCCCTGCAAAAACTTAAGCACATTCTTCATTGTATGCTTAGGAGCAGTCTCATTGATTTCAACTGGACTATTCAAGTGTGTGCACAAGTGTTTGCAGGGCCATGGCCTTAACATGTATACAAGGTAGTCTATAACTGGCCCCTGGAGAGGTGTCTTTCCCCAGGTAATTCCGGTTTGTCATATTTCCCAGTTATGACCACTTGGAGAAACCACTAAATTTAATTATAATCATAACACTTATTTCACCTGTAGATCTCAAAGCATTTTGCAAAGATGGGTAAGAATCATTATCCCCATTTTGCAGGTGGAAAAACTGAGGCACAAAGAAAGATAATTAGTTGACAAAAGTCGCACCATGAATCAGTATCAGAGACAGGAACAGCCCCAAGGTCTCCTCACTCCCAGGCAGTTGCTGCCTAACATTGATATATAAATATAATTGTGATTAGAAATGTGCACAGGCATCAACAGATACTGGGATTTTCAGTTTTGATGTCATGGGTTTGCCTGTCCTAGAGTGACGGATGAACTGTGACATTCAAATCCAGGATTGGATTCTGATTACTTAAAATTTAGAATTGGGATTTAAGACTGTAGAACTCAGGGCTGGCCTCAAAACTGAGAACTAGTTCTGGGTTCAGATTCCAACCCTACCCCTACACTGTTTGAGATGCTGAGATTCAGGGATTTGGTCCATTGCTAATAATAATGAGCAATACAATAGCTTTTAACCTGTCGCACTGATTCCCAAACACTTTGCAAAATATTAATTCATTCATCAGAAAAGGAATTTTTCTGCCTTTATGTAGGTTTATATAGTGCATTAAGTTGTGCGCTGATTCAAAGCATGTGTGTAAAGATCTGTAATTTATTGCTCTGTAATAAATCAAAGCAATCTTCCCTAAAGCGCTGTTCTTTCCTTGGCCCATTTCTAAATCTAATTATATTATATTAACATTAGGCACAGGCCTGGAACAAGATTTGGATCCTTTTTCTGGCTCTGTGATTGACTTACTGTGTGACCCTGGGCAAGTCACTGTTTCCCTCTGTGCCTCAGTTTCACAATTTAGAAATCAGATGTGGGGAGTCTGACTTTAAGGCCTAAGGTCATATGACCCTGGCCTTCTGTATAAAGGGAGCTTTTAGAACTAATTTGTGTTTCCAATGCTAGCTGGTGAGGGGAGAGAGTGAGTAGAATCTACTGAAGGTCAGAACTGAGATCCAGGCATATCTCTAGATCTATAGCCTTATTGTAGTGCCCTGAGCCAGTGGAGTGCTGCCAATCTGGTCTATTTATTTTATTTTAGCTGGTTTCATTAGAAAGTTATCAGGGGTCCTGGAACACACAAAAACCCTTAATTGTGGACATTCATGTTTTAATATAGGTATATTTTACTATTGTATTAGAAATAAAACTTAGTACTCGCTTAGTACATATGTTAATGAATCCTAAAATACTCGTTTAGAAGGTTTTAATGCCTTTGGGCAATCTCTTACAAAATGTTCTTAAATAATAACTTGTCTACCTAAAACTACAGAAGTGCAGCTTAGTTTCTGGCCAAGCTTTGGTCTGTTTGATATCTATAAAGTACTTGTTAGAGCAGGTTTCTGTGTGACTGGTGTGCCTATTTTCTTGTTAAAGCCTCAGCTCTTGTGAAATGCATGTGTCTGATTAAATGAGAGCTGGTCTAACTATCTTACCAGGTGTAAGTGATTGGGTAAAATTGCTACATGCTCATGATGACTAATGGAGGAACATAGCAGCTTGCAAAGGATAGCCTGAGATTTCAATGTGATTATAGGTACCCAGCTTGGGACACTTTAAAAGGGCCTGATTTTTCAGAGGAAGGGTGCTGAAAAATTGGGGCTGTTCTAAAATTAGGCACCCAAAATCAGTAACCACTTCTGAGAACAGCATGGAGGCCAAAGAATTCTAGTTTCATCCTCTTACCCTCTTATATCCATGCTAATAGAAAACTTCCTGAAAGTGAGATGTTAGGGTGGGGGTTGGGCTGTGGCAGGCATTTAAATCAAAGGGGCAATGGAGAACAGCCAGGTGAAGAGAGCAGTGGACTATACAGACAAAGAAGAAAAAGATAGTCCCTGCCCCAAAGAATTTTTAATCTAACCTTGTCTCTTGGATTTTCACTGTTGAAGTTGTCTCCAAAGCCAATGACTGTAAGCAGCTCAGATGTGGACCAGAAGAACATGAGAAAATATTTGAGTAGTTCCTGCATTTCAGTGTTTTCCTGCAAGGGGCCGTCTTCTCCAACAATCAAGAATATCATAAGTAAAGCCAAAGCAGGATCAGAGTCTAAGGGTATGTTACTTACTCAAACCATAGCTGGACCCATCCCACAGGTTATGTGGCGTTGGGAATTTTCCAGTTCCCAGACATCCTGAAGGGGTCACCCACTTGCCAAAGAACTGCTTACAGTCTCAACCATAACTTCAAAAAAGATAGAGTCAAGGTAGTGGAGCTGAAATTGGTCAAGGAGTAATCCAGCAGTTATTTGGCCAGTGACTTCTTTGGTGGTGTGAGGGTGAAATAGGATTCTCTACTTCCATTAAAAATCTGGTTGAGACTTGACTGGCTCTGAAAGCTTCAAATGTAGGCACTAGTCCTATAACTTCCACTGTTAAGGAGTTTATGTGCACCAAGAAGCTTGTGAAATACTTTCATTGCTTCAAAAAACCTGTAAGCTAGGTGACAACAGCAGAAGTAACTGAAATAAGGGTGCTTTTTCACCTGGTCAAAAGTAACCTAGCTGAGCTCCAACAAACCGGGCAAGGATAAGCTGCTCCACCCTGTCAATAACTCGGTTTCAATGGGTTCCTGAGCAAAGAAGTGTTGCTTCCCAGTTCATGGTCTCTTATTTGATAAAGAAATGCAGAAACAATACAAGTGTCAGTAATACATAAAGGGCAGTTCAGCCTTAAAAAGAACTCTCCGTATTTAATGGTACAAAAGACATAGGACCTTCTACAAAGATACAAATGAGCCTTTGAAACTTTTTTTTTAATGGTGTGTTTATTCCTAGTCAGCTGGAGCTCCATGTACCAAGGGGCAGAAATTGGCCCAGAGATAATTGATGCTTATTGTACTCCACACACCTTTAGACTGATTAATAAAATTAGGTGCAATTTTCCTTTAAGGACTGTCTGATATTCCCCCTTGACTCTTACGTTAAACATGCTGGTAGTTTCAGTGATCATCTTCCTATTCAAGGATGCAAGAGTTGCCTGGGCATGCCAGCTTCTTCAGTCCCCTTCCATCATGAGATAGCAATAACTGTTTTTCCTCTGGGCTCTGGTCATTACTCACCCACCCCTTCCATCTTCATCCTGTTGTTTTAAATTGCACTTTATTGCCACCACAATTAATGGGTGACATGATGTCTAAAACTATGTCCAAACATTCCTAGGGCTGTCTGTTTTCACTGTAGAATTCCTATTCAGTGAAGACTTCCTTCCCCCATTCATCCATCCAAAAGCTCTCAGATCCACTCTACAAGCTACAGCATAAAAAGACACAGTTTCTGTTCTAAAGCTGATGCATTTGTTTTACAGACGAGGAAGATGGTTCAAAAATGGACACCAAACGTACCTCTGTTTCTCAGCTGCCCAGGTAACTATTCAGAAAATATCTCAATATGCTGTTTCTGGAGCATTAATATTGTTTGCTGTATAAGTCTCCAGATCATCCCAAACCTCTAGATACTACAAAACTACTAGCTTTTTTCTGTGTAAGAATTGTCTTGCCGATTTCCTGAGTTGGGTTTAAAAGATACAGATATTTAAAGGGCCTTTCCCCTAAGATATTTAGAACTCTCTATATCTTACATTGTAGAGAATAGTATCTAAGGCCTAGATTTTTTCAGAAATGTGCATATGCAAAAGTGCAGACACGTATATGTGAAATCATGGCAGATGTGAGCATGAATGGGCAGTCAAGTATCCAACTCTCCATTTGTATATGCAAATTAAGCACAACTGAACATACAGGTGCATGTATGACCTTGATAACCTGAGCCCTATTTTTTCAAGTAACTTGGTGATTAGAATTGAGTCTACCAAGACTTTATTTATACACCTTTACTTTGCTAAAATAGTAGGACTGTTTTAGCATGGAGGGCTTACACTGGGGAAAGGCTCTGTTTTAGGCTGTGTTGACTGTCTTCAGTAACTTTGTCTACCCATTCACTTCTATTCTATCGAATATCTAAATGTAGTCAATAGGAAACTTAAACATGTTGAAATATACTGACACCTTCATGATAGGGCTAAGCAGGTGCAGTGACATCTGTTTTACACTAAGATTGAATTTGACTGATATTTCTCCATTTACTGGGAATTACTAATGTTATAACTTTAATACTGACTCTTGTACTGCATGCAGGAAAATGTGGGGCATTGATGACTTTGAAATTGGGCGGCCACTTGGGAAAGGTAGATTTGGAACCGTTTATTTGGCTCGTGAACAAAATACCCACTTCATCCTAGCCCTAAAAGTCATCTTCAAGTCTGCCCTGGAGAAATCACAATTGGAGCACCAGCTCCGAAGAGAAATAGAAATTCTGAGTCATCTCAGGTAAGAACCTGTGCTGAAAGTAAATAAAATAACCATGGAGTGGGACTTACAGCCTGAGGAATGCTGGTATCCCTGGCTGACTTAGTCTTTGCACCCTCCACTTTAGCAAAAGCCAGACTGCAGTTCATTCTAGACCACCCTAGTGGCAAGCTCAACAAACTGGAGCCAGTCTTCTGGGTTGCCTTTTTGGTGATACAGAGAAGTGGAAAACGTGATTACCTTACTTCAGAAACAACTTAACCTGAATTGGTGAACTTGAGAGGTGGGAAAGAAGGTAGTCCTGCTCATTAGTTTGTCATATGGGTGAGGAAAATCTCTGAGATCTATCCCTACAAACTAATTGCTATCCTCTAAGAAATATACGGCAAACAAAATGGTGTGCTGCTGGTGGGCCTCACTCTCCCCCCCCATGCCCTCAAGAAATTGTTCCTTTGCCTTTTTCAGTTGTCTACTTAAGGCTAGAATCTTGAGGGTCCTAATTCTGATCACGGTTCAGTTGTGAACTAAAGAGGATCTCATTGGGAAAGCTGAGATGCTGAGCTTGCTGTCTTGATTTCTAACGTGGTTCAGTTGTGCCAATCTCAGCATGCTTCTGACTAACCTAATTCCTGACTGTCGCAGTTACAAGGCTAACTGTGCCTCTGAGCCCTTCTCTGAGCTGAGTGCACCCCCTCAGGTGTTAGGCCTTGTGCCCTTCTCCCACCAACTCCTAGGCGACAATACCCTGTGTATTCTCTGTGCTCACCCCAACAGGTCCAAGTAGGTTTAGGTACCTGTGGTTCTTCCCTTTTGGGAGCTTGTGACTAGTGGAAAGAATTTAATCTTAAGAGCATGAACAAAGCATAAGACAAAGGTTTGTTAAAGCAATAAAAGGGCTACCTACATATCTGTCTTGCCTTAAAGGCTTGCTGTCCCTTAGCAGAGACCTACCCAGACACTCAACTTCTGGAGCCTGGCTTAACCCTCCCTCTCTTGAGTGACTCTTTATCCAGCCCCAAGTCTTATTGTTCTCCTGTGTTTTCTGAGCCTAGTTAAACCAATTCAGGTAGCTCAAGAAGAGTGGGGGTAGTGACATTAAAGTCCATATTCCTGGGTGCTTGCTGAAAGTCTGTTATCTGGGCAATTGTCCTGGCTTCCTGCATTTCCTGACAATCCTATTATCAAATAAACTCAGTGCAGTAAACATGCCAAAAGCCAGGTCACATACAGCATTCATAAATTGTCACATAGCCGCTTCAAATCCATCACACTAACCCTGGGGGGAATTTTCTAGCCTTCCTCCCCCAGACCTCTGAAATAACAAGCACCATTTCTACAGCATGGCTTCTACTCCTGTTAAATCAGCAGCCAATGCTACTTAACGTCAGTTGTCCTATTGTCCTTCTGTTAGTAATGTATCGTCTGTTTTTTACATACCTGATCCATTTAATCACTAGACCAACTAAACTATGGGATTATTATTTTCCCACATGTGCAAGCTTTCATAACACTCCTGATCCAACTGAATAGGAATGTGGTGGCAGGAATCAAGAAACTAGCTTAACATCTGGCTTCAGTGTTGTGATACTTGTTTGATTTTCAGCTACCAAACGTGACCTTTCTGGCTTTTTTAGGCATCCAAATATTTTGAGATTTTATAACTACTTTCACGACAGAACTCGGATCTACCTGATGTTGGAATATGCTCCAGGAGGGGAGCTGTACAAAGAGTTGCAAAAACATGAGCATTTTGAGGAGACTAGAACTGCCACGGTGAGTAAAGTGTTGATGCTGCTTATGTTTTGTGAAGGGGAATGGAATCTCATCTTGGAACTACTATAATGTATGTACTGTAGGCATACGCTCTGGGTTTGTATGCAGAACAAATCATCTTGCCTAAGTAAAACTAGTTGGAAATATCTTGCTCACAAAGTATCTCGTGTGACTGCCAACGTTTCAGTTCCTGGATAGAGCCAGGAATTGCCAAGATGTGGCAAGGCTTCTTTCTAATCTTCAAAGGTTCAGTACATCCATCCCTGGTTTTATATAGTACTACCATTAGCTTTCTACGCAACTCTTACAAGCAATATCAAAACAAACATGGTAAATATCAAACCAAATCACTCACTGCTGAGCCACAACAAGGTTTGTATTTAACTTACTAAATGGCTAAATCATATTTCCTATAGAAAACCACTACATAAACTGTGTTTGACTGTATAATTCTCTTGGGTGTGGCACATTCTGCAGTATATAGAAGAAATATCTGATGCTCTGATATACTGCCATGCTCAGAAAGTGATCCACCGAGATATCAAGCCTGAAAACCTCCTGCTAGGACTTAAAGGGGAACTGAAGTTAGCAGACTTTGGCTGGTCCGTGCATGCTCCGTCACTCAGGTGAGTCTGACTCCTCTTTTCAGTTGTAAGACCACTACTATATGGACTCAGTCTCTATTCGACTGTCCTATATTTACAGCTCCTCCACTGACAACATTTTGGTAAAAATCTGTCTAATATCCTAATCCTCTCATCTTGATTCACTGATGCCACATAATTGTCTCCAAAGAAATGAACTGTGGACAATCATTGGATTGTGACACCACTGATGGTGAGCAAGGAGGAGCAGGATTGGTTCACGGTTGTGTGGTCCCTTGAACACTGAAATGAATCCTCCTGGCCTCTACAAAGGCATGAAAAGTATAGTCCTTGTGCCCTGCTTTGCTTCCCCTACGTGGTCCTTGAGACAGCATGAGCAGAGAGGTCTGTCGGCAGCCCCAGGACCAACAGCTGAGAGAAGCTCTCCTTCAAGGCTGGCTATCTCTACACCTTGACTGGCACTTTGAGGAAAGAAAGCAAAACAGTGCATATGGCTTTTCTTAGATATTAGAATCTTTATTTTTTTCCCAAAGATTCTTGCGACACAGACTATAGTCTGTAATATTACTGTCATGGAGCCATATAAGTGCCTCTTGTCTTTCATGAAGCACTAAGAGAATGTTTTTGACTCTGCAGCCCAACCCCTCATGTAGCTTCTGTTTGACCTAATCTAGATCTCTGGCTTCAGGAGTTATGTCTAGTCCCCAATCAAAACTACTCCTTTAGACTGAAACTTAAGAAATTGTATGCACAGAGTCACCCAGCTTGCATACACAATTTTGAAAGTTTGGGCCTTAATTGGTCAGAAGGTTAATTGCTGGGTAAGTAAAGCACTTCCTAGGATTGAGACAGAAGCTAATCTACTTTCCCCACACCTAGGCCACAAAGCTGACATCCTACCTAGGGCAAGATCTTCAAAACAGCTCAGATTCTAGTGGGTCCAAATCTGGCCCCTAAAGTTCTAAATTGGGTGTGGATGTGCGTAATAAATCAGTTATTGATAAATTTACTCTACCTTATTTTAATGCAACAAAATGACCGGTGATTTATTTTTTAAACAGGAGGACAACATTTTGTGGCACGACAGATTACCTTGCCCCAGAAATGATTGATGGGAGAACCCATGATGAAAATGTTGATGTCTGGTGTGTTGGTGTTCTATGTTTTGAGTGTCTTGTGGGGTATGCGCCATTTGAAGCACCCACCCGCAATGAAACATACAAAAGAATTGCAGAGGTAAGCTTTCCTAAATCCATGGAAGAGGTTACTTGGTTTTGAGAGCAAAGAAAACCACCTCCCACAGGCAAACAAATAATTAGGCTTGGAAGGATTTTTTTTTTTTTTTAAATCAGGGAAAGCTGATTTCATGGTACGCACAAACTAATGAAATAATAGCTTAATTGATGATGATCAAAGTTTACAGATAGGCAAAGTACGAAAAATGCTGCTTGAGAACTTTGTGCTTTAAGGATATTTACTTTGTATATTTTGACTGATGTTGACAACTTGTGTTTTAATGGTTATAACACTTTAACTTTTTGAATCTCGCCATCTGTCATTAAATTGTCTGATTTTCCCCCCACCCCCCAATTTTCTGCAACTGTGAAAATTTAAATTGATAAAAATGGAAAAAAGCTTAAACATTTGATACTTATTGAATTATATAAAAAATCAAATTCTGGCAAGCCTACAAATAACCTAATCATATAAAAGATTAGACTAGGAACCCACAACTGTCAGCACCACTGATAACCAGGCCAATAAATTCTCTTCTTTAGAATCAGACACTGCTTGGGTTTTGATTTTGTTGGCCTCAAACATGACTGGTTAAAGCACTGTCAGAGTGCATTACAGAGAACTGGGCATCCTGTTTGATACCATCTCTGTATTCATTAGGATCCCTGACATTCCCAGTTAAAATCTTCAGAACAATGTCAAAATAACATTGTTTATTACGAGAAAATCCTGGTTACTTTTTCTTGCCCTTACCATTTCCCTCTTCAAAGTCTGTAGTTGAGCAGGGTTAGATAAAGATGCCTTCAGAGCACATGGACTCATCCTTAAATCAACAAGAGTCCTTAAATAGTAATGTGAGGCACTCCCTTTTACTGAAGCACTCATCAATTATGCTACCTAGTTACTAAAAATAGCACAAACACATACTATGGTACTTCAACTGGCAATACATATGGCAAAACTGTTAAATCTAAATTAGTGTTGGATGTGTTTCAGACAGCTGCTCCTTTTTTGTACGGAGTTTGGGGTGAAAAGTGGTGACAAGATTTAAACTACCTAATTTGAAACAGTGGATCATCTTGGATATAGATTTGGGGCCTTGTCTTGTACCCATATATCTACTGGAATTTTGCCATTGATTTGAATGGGAGCAAGACTGAGGCTGTAATTTCTTTTCTATCTGCAAAATTGACATGGTGGAGGGGGATGAACAAATGTAGATAAATATATTGAAGACTAGGGATACAGATACAAAATGTACCAGTTGGTTCTAATACTGGCCTTATTCAATGAAGATTACTCTCCTTCATTAATTCTGTCTTCCACACTGCTCAGTACAAAACGACTCTTTAAAATTAAGCAGCCAACCAACTTATTCCAGTGAACACTATCAGCTAGTGTCCTTGACTGTGTGACTCTAATGTGCACACTGTATCACAGATAATTGGAAGTGTATGTATTATGCCAGAAACATCGATCTTATTTTGCACATTAATCAGGGTTAAAAGTATATCGGATAAAGTTCTTGTGATTAGATCTATTCTGTGGCTGCTCTGACAATGATCTGGTATAGGAGATGTTACAATGTAATTCTGGAGCACACAAAGAATCTTACTTTGTGAAATTCAGTTGTTGTCATCATAACCCAACTATACGCTATCAGACTTGTATGCATTCCAAATCTTAACTGTCAGTAACAGTCTTGCATTTTCGTAGTCTTTTTGAAGACACTAATTTACTATCATGGAATTACCTGGCTTTGGTAATATTGTTACATCACTCATTACCTGTTAAGCAGTACTTTTTTGTAGCTGTGAAGACTACAAAAACTTGGCACACTAGACACCGAGCAGTGGTCGAGACCACAGTCTATTGTGCTGACCAGTGCTGTCTCCTGTGTCAGTTTGTCTTATAGTTCGATTGCAAGCTTTCTCGAGCAAAGACTATCTTCCCCAACCCCTTCATTCTGTTTGTACAGCACCTAGTGCATTGGGGTCCTGGTCCATGACGCAGGCTCCTAGGTGATATTATACTATTCATTGTACTTGCATCATACCTGTTGTTACCTTGTGGAACTAATATTTTTTTTTTCCTCTCCCCTCCCCCCAGGTTAAATTCACATTTCCCACATGGATCCCTGATGGTGCTAAGGACCTTATTTCAAAAACACTTAAGCGCACTCCTTCTTTGAGGCTGTCTCTCAAAGAAATAATAAAACATCCATGGGTTAAGAAGAACTCAAGGAGGATTTTCCCACCAGTTTATAAAGCAGCTGAACAATAAACTCGTACTTCCAACAAAAGACATTCTCACTCTGGAATATTGACTATTTGTGCTTTTTTGAGATGGCTGGATTTTTTTAAATCCGGTTAGGATTCTGTTTATCCGAATGAACAGGAGTGGGGAGTATTAGACTAAGGTAGAGAACTTTCTGTGATGCTGGAAATCAAAAAACACTAGTGTAGGTCTTATGGCTCAGGGGAGAGAGGTGGTGGGGAAAATAGCTTGTCCTCAATGTAATATATTTAAATGGATAGGGGTTAATTCACTTTTAGCCATAAAGCAAGTGCTGTCCCTAACTGCAGTCGTTTGCTTTTTGTATAAATTTAATTTGATAACTGGGCTTTCCCTCCCCCCGTTCAATCTGATGTTTCAAGACAAGCTTTGAGAGCACTTGCCACCTTCATGCTTAAGAGCAATTACGATGCAGAAGGTTCCTTTTTTTAACCTATGCATGTGTGGAGTCCATTAACTTTGCAGTAGGTTAAACCCTCCCTCCCCCCTTGCCTCTAGTTTGCACATAACGCTGCCGCGCAAGGACAGTGGGGTTGGCTGTATAAGAGGGCGAGCGAGCTGTGCTGCAAAGCGCGGACTGGACAAGTGCTGCCTGCCCGCCTCTGCAGCGCAGGGCCCGAGCGGGTGGTAAACAGCGAACCGCCTCCGTGCAATGCTGAAGATACTTGTCTCCCCTCCCACGCTGGGCCCCGCGCGCCTGCAGGCCCGAGGATGCCCACGCGCCTCCCACCGCCCCCAGCCAGGCCAGCGTGGGAGCAACACTCTCCGTGACTCGGCGGGAGTCAGTTCCGAGGCTGCGCAGCCGCAAGCGCGAGACACACCCACGATGGCGGCGGGGGGAGGCTCTTGCAGGGTTAGCCGGCCTCTACGTACGCATGCGTCCTGAGTGCAATTATGGCACGAGACAGTCGCCGGCGCGCGCGCCTGCCTGGGGAGGGGCGCCAGCGCAGCACGTGGCCAGCTGCGTGTCCTCCCGACGGGTGGCGCTTCCCTTCTGATGTCACACTGACGCAAGAGCGTCAGATTGGAGACGGGAGTCTCCCACCCACCCCCATCCCCCCACCAGCGCCCCACTCTCCTCACGGCGCAGGCGCAGGGGCCGCCGCCGCCGCCGGCTCTGGCTTCCATTCCATTCGCAGGGACGGCAGGGGCGCCGCGTGAGGGGGAGACGCGCGGCCGCAGCACCGCCCGCCCGCCCGCCCCGGGCCGGTCACCGCCGGCACCATGAAGATCTGGACCTCGGAGCATGTCTTCGAGTAAGGGCTGGGCGAAGGCGGGCAACGGCCGCGGGGCCGCGCGCGCGCTGTGCGGGGGGTGAGCGACCCCGGTCGGGCCTGGGCCCGCGTGGAGAGGCTTGTTCCCCAGCTGGGGCGGTGTGAAGAGCGACCCGCGGGCGTTGGGACGGGGGGGGCGCTCTGCGGAGGCAAAGCCCCTGCCCAGGGCGCTCCCTCAGCGCCGCGGCCCGGAGACCCAGGGCCCAGGGAAGCGCTTGTCAGACTCCATTGCCCTGTGACCCCCTTCTGACAACGAAAATTGCTACACGACCCCAGGAGGGGGGACCGAAGCCTGAGTCCGCCTCAGTCCCACTGCCCCGGGTGGAGTGGGGGCGCAAAGCCTGAGCCTCCCCACCCCGGGCAAGGAAGGGGTCAAAACCCACACCCAGGGGCTTCATCTCCAGCCAGGGGGCCTGTAACCTGTGCCCCGCTGCCTAGGGTTGTGGGGCTCTGGCTTCCCCAAGCCCCAGCAAGTCTAAGCCAGGGGTCATGACCCGCAGTTTGAGAACTGCTCTGTTACAATAAAGCCAATAATTAAGAAATCTACGATACTCTGGTATTTCACAAATAATTGTTTGGTTTGTTTATGTATTGTTTCAACTGAATATGTTTTGTACCTGTATTTTTAAAGCAAACTGTAAACTGCATCTTTTTCATGATGTAATAGAAAGTCTGACAAACTAATGTATGTAATTTATAAATGTGTTAATTTTGATTTATTTGGTCAGCCACCCCTGGGAAACAGTTACAACAGCTGCTATGCAGAAATACCCAAATCCCATGAACCCTAGTGTGATTGGAGTTGACGTACTAGACAGACACATAGACCCCAGTGGAAAGTTGCATAGCCATAGACTGCTCAGTACAGAATGGGGGATGCCTTCTATCGTAAAATCAGTAAGTACATTATTACAAGACTTGAGAGAGTACATATGAGCTATCTCATTTTTAGAAATAATCAAAACCGTATATAATTTACAATCCAGCTCTTTTTGGGACAACACAGGGCCTGGGGGATCATACGTACTGCACGATTCCTTAGTGCCATCCCATGTCCCTATCTCCTTTACAATTATTTATGTCCTTGTAGCACTAGGAAGGAGCAGTAACTTTACCCACCCTGAAGCACAGAAGCTGCTCTTCTATCTAATTCTTGCTTTGTGTAGGCAGGTGGAGGTAAAGCCCAATATGACCTTTCATGTCTTTGCTTGCAGCAACAACTCTTGTATCTTATTGCTTGGTTACTGCTGCTGCTTTTCAAGTAATCTGGTTAACAGCTGTTCTCTTAAGGTGTCCTATTCCTAAAAATGGCAAATTTCTATTGGATTGTCAGGTACACTGACATTCTTGTACTATGGTTTGATCCTTGAAGAAGTTTTGTAGTATACTTTGGTCCTGAAAGGTACATAAATCATTCCCAATGTATTTCCATGGCTTTCCTTATGATGAGTTTCTTTATTAGCTTGGTGGAAGAACCACATGCTTCCTTATTATCAGTTTTAAATACCCGTAAATCAAGATTGTATCCCATTGTTGCACTTTACATACTCATTGTCAGAGACTGTTCTTGCCCCAAATTCAGTCTGACTAGACAAGACAGACAAAGGTTGGGAGGAAGGGAGTAGTATTATTTCCTTTTAATACCTAGTGCTCCTATTTTATGTTCTGGAAGAATAAGGTTGGACTTGGGGAAACCATACCACTTATTTCTCATCTAGTTGAGAAAATAGCATTCTTCTGGGGTTTTTTGTGATATTACTTTTAAATGTTGAACAGAATTCTGTAAGCAGTAGATAATATAGTTTAGACTGTTGCATACTTTTCCAAAGTTTAAAAGGATGTTAACTTAAATCACATTTCAATATAAACTGTTTTACCTGCAGTTGTTAAAAGTAACACAGTTGCTATAACTGAAAAGAATTATAGAAAAATTATTTTATTTTTCCCTGCATATTTGACAACTGTCTATGGACAAATTCACCCTTTCCCCTGCATAATCATTTTTTGCAGCATAATGGGTGAGAAGTTTTTTTAATAGGAGCATGTGGTTTTAAAACTGTCAGAGGGAAGAACAGTGGGACTTCTAGCTTTTTTTTTTTTAATTGATAGATTTCAAACTGATGGTCTTCTTTTAAATAAATTGAATTAAATTATACCTATTTTAAGCAGGAAATAAATACCAACTTTGTCATTTTAAGGCTAGTTGCATTTCTTACCCTTTATTCAGTATAGTAATGTTTACTTTGATATTCCATAGTACATCTCTATCTCGATATAACGCTGTCCTCGGGAGCCAAAAAATCTTACCGCGTTATATCGAACTTGCTTCGATCTGCTGGAGTGCGCAGCCCCGCCCCCCTGGACCACTGCTTTACTGCATTATATCAGAATTCGTGTTATATCAGGGTAGAGGTGTATGTTGAAATGAAAGGAAAAAAGTAAATACAAATCTTTAAACTTTTCAGAATAGTTATTGCAGTGTGTTTGTGTGTATAATCTTGGGTGTCTTTCTTGTAGCTCATCGGTGCTTGCAGAACAAAGACATACGTTCAGGAACACTCTGTAGTTGACCCTGTGAAAAAAACAATGGAACTTAAGTCAAGTAACGTAAGTATTGTAATTTCTTTAATCAATAATGCTAAAAAGTCATTAGTTGACTGACATGTTTAAATTGTATAAACAGTTTGAAAGAGAAAATTTTATCTTGAAAATAGCATACCTCATATTCTCAACAGCCTATTGTAGTAAAGGAACTTTTTTGCCAGCTTTGTTATGAAATGCCTGCACTAGAAATGATTAGTGATTAGCATATACAAAGCATCCCACTTTGTTTCAAAAATTATTTTGTAGTATTGCTGCTACCTTAATGTGTAGTACTTTGCTCAGTACTGTATATCGTTTGTACATGGTCATTGTTAAACCCTGGGTTTAGCAGGCCAATGCTCAAACCACTGAGCTATCCCTCTTTCTCCTCCCCCTCCCCGGACACTCCTTGACAGTCCATGTTGAAGGACATAAGAAGAAAAAGTAGTTTAGCAAGCTTGAACTTTAGGATTTATTTCTTTCGTATATGTTTATGCCAGTTTTGTTAAATAGTATTTCAGCTGTAATTTTAGAATAATAAAGTAGAATACCACATAGAAGGATGGTGTAAAAAATTTGAGTGTTAAGGTCTTAGGTTGTTCTAGTTGTGTTTATTTCATCTTCTTAATGAATTTTTTTTATTTATGTGACGACAATCTAACTCATTTTATTCCATAGATTTCATTTACAAATCTGGTATCAGTAGATGAGAGGCTTATCTATAAACCACATCCTCAAGAGCCAGAAAAGTAAGCACATGTATATTTGTCTTCAAGATTGCACCTTAGAAGAGTAAAATAAATTTACATTATCCTTAATGGCATTGCTTCCGCAAATCCCCACTGTGAGATTGCATGCCCTTCCATATGACAGTGGAGTCCATTTCAAAGCAGCTGTTCAGGGAGTGAGCATATGCCCCTTTGTTTCAGCATTTTAAAATGAAGGGTATAAAAATCCCTGGTCTCCCAACTGTCTCTCATTTCCAGAGTCCTGTGTTTTTTACAAATATGAAATAAAATGAAAAACAACATGAAGCAAAAAACTCACCCTGCAGCTATGGCTTCTATCCCATGGGGCTGGGCCCAGCTCCTTGCTCTGGGGTGTTGCGACTTGGTGCATGGTTTCTCAGTGCCATTTCAGGTTTGGCCCGGCCGCCCCTCTGTCGTCGTCATGCCACTGCCAGGTGAGTGCAGGGCAGGCTTGCTCTGTGACTTCCCTCGGCAAGACCCATCACCCCTCCCCCCATGTTGATAAAATGGATAAAATTAAATAACACAAAATTGCAGGGAAATAAAATGAAAAACTGTTTAATAAAATAAAAGGAATTTCATGGGTCTCTACTTTTTTTTTTTTCTTTCCCCCCCTCTTTCCATCAACCTGAGTGCACACAGACCATACACCTCTGTCTGCATCTGGATTTCTTTTAGAATGACTAAAGTAATTGTAGATCAGATTAGTTGCTCCTTTTGGGAGAGCTGTGTTATCATTTTGTAGCTAGTAAAATATTCCACAGCCCCCTCCTGGAAAATTGTTGCTGCTAGTTAGTCTTTCTCAGTGGGAATATGTCCTGGCAATGTCATAAGGGAGAAAACAAGTCACCTCTCTCTTTGAATGTATTCCCTCTGCAGATCCATGTTGACCCTCTTTTACCCTTTACTATGGAGAATTAAAGGATTCAAGAAAAAGTAAGGGACATTTGTGGGTGGGTGGGAATTACTGTATCTTATTTCTGGAATGCTGGACCAGAGAATCATGCACACCCAGCCTCACAGCAACATAGTCCATTTCAAAACAATTAGCCATTGGGGGGAAGTGTGTATATGCTTTTCTGTTCCAGCATTCTAGAAGCAAGAGAGAGAAACAATTTTGCCAGGTAGATCTGTGGAAGCAGGGCATTTGGAAGGGTGCGGGGGAGGCTATTTTTATAAATAATACTCTACTTGTTTTTATAATGTGAAAAAATAAAGTGATTTTTTTTTTCTTTACTCAGAACCATTTTGACTCAAGAAGCAATAATCTCTGTGAAAGGTGTCAGTGTCAGCAGTTATCTAGAAGGATTAATGGAAAACACTATCTCTTCCAATGCGAATAAAGTAAGTATGACTCCTACATGTATGTTCTTTATGATTTCTGGCTTCTTGATTTGTGGAGTTGTTAAAAAAAAAAAGGCCTTTTTTTTTTTTTTTTTTTTTTTTTTTACATTTATTTTACTTTTGAAAAAGATACAGCAGGGCTTCTCAAAAGGGATCGTAGTGTGAATCACTTCTTAAAATACAGATCCACGCTCAACCTCTCAATCCTGATTCTGCACCTTCCCTAGCGTAATAATAGCACTTTGTTAATATTGTCCTAACATTTAAGATGACAAAAGGAAAATAAGCACGTTTTAGCATGATGGGTGTGGCTGCTTGATCACATCTCTCTGTGAACCTTTAGGGTTTTTTCCCCTCATTGACTGTATATTTATTAGTACCAAATATCCCCATGCTGCCTGGGCTGGCATCTCCAGGTCACTTTGAACTTTGGTTCTGTTCTATATGTTTAAGATTAAGCGTAGTACCTGTTCTTATCAGTTTAATTCCTCCAGTTCAAGTGCCATCCAAAATTTTACATCCGGCAGATGTGAAGCAGATGCAAAAAGTTGCTTCTTTTTAGTGCAACTGGTCAGCTAGCCTCTGGAAATCCAAACAGGTCATGGACTGCGCTACAGCAGTTGGGAAGCATAGGCTTGACAGAAGCAACTTTGCAGATCATAATTTAAGCACCGCTAAACTAAAGAAAATCTTTTTTAAAAAAATGAAAAGCTGCACTTATTTCCTTGGTACTTTGGTTGTTCGCTTTATTTGTTGAAACAGTGTGTGTTGAGGTCTCATTTAATTTACATCTTGAGTTTTATAGAAAATAAATTCTTCAACTTTGGTTTGCTAAAACTTAATTTATTAGTTATATGAATGGTCTTTGTCACCCCTAGCTTTTGATATTGTCATAGAATACAGAACTTTGGGACAGACAAAATGAAAAGACAGTAAATATAAACCTAATTAAAGAAAATACTACTTCACATAGTATTCACCTCAGTGCAAAGATGCTCTGCGCATTGTTTCATGTGACAGCTTAGGTATAGTTTCTTTTAAAATGGGGAATAAGGGACTTGTAAGGCTTTGTGTGGGCCTCCTGCATGGGGATAAATTTCAGCCATAAAATATAATGACATTATATTTGCTGGTGCCAGAGACAAGAAGATAAAACTGGATAATTTTATTGCCATTTATAACAATTTTATCTATGGCCCCTCTAATATTTCTCTCTTATAGTTTTTATAATAGTGCCCATCATTTTAGTTATGAGTGTCTCCCAAAGAATTTGAAATCAAATCTATGAACAGCTAGAGACCTAATTTTCCTCCTTGCCTTCCCATCTGTCAGTCACGTGAATTTTTTTAAACTGTTTTTATGTAAATGTTCTCTTTTCTCATTGTTGTACTATTCAGTTTCTGATTTTTCTCTTCCTTTTTTCTATACCTTTTTCCTTGTCTTCTTCCTTGTGGTTTTTATTGCAGCTGTAGGAGAGAGAAACTGAAGTGAGTTTTCACTTAATTCTGAAGGCTGTAATATTTGTGATAATTTTAATCTCCTGTGGCGTAAACTCTGAAGCCTTGGTCCTGTTCTTGAGAATGCCCTGTTTCCTCTTTCTCATAGCTTCGTCCTTGATGTTGACAGCATCATAGTTCTAAGGACTGTCGTACAGAGAATTTTATTATTTTTTTTTTTTTTTTAAACTAGGGCCAGTTTCAACTGTTTTGTTCTAGCTAGTCTTCAAGAAAATATGATGCCTGGCCATTTACTTACAAACCTTTCCTTTCTTCATAAATATTTGAATAAGTGTTGTTGTTGTTTTTTAATTGCAGGGCCGTGAAGCATTGGAATGGGTAATCAGTAAATTGAATGCTGAAATTGAGGAGTTCACAGCTTCAGCAAGAGGAAGCATGAGGACTTCTATGGCAGCGGCAGCATTTGTAGAGAAATAATAGTGAATACAGCTATATCAATTAATAGGTCTAAGTGAAATAAGCAAACTAAAACTTCTCTCCAAGTTGAAATATATTTATTCTTATATTTGTTATTTAAAGGCATATTTGTATATTAGGTAGTTTTTAAATTAAAACTTGGAGAGAAGTTACAAATTCTTGTGACTGAAGGTTATGTGCTGGGGCTTCACTAACATGTTAGTTCCATTGGACTGAACGTTTGTTTCAAATGAAATAACCTCCTAACATTCAGAGCTCATTCCTGTAATTAATGAACACTTATATAAAATAGTTTTTATCCTAGGTAAGATTGCAGATGTTGCGGGAGATTGACATGTTAGTGAATCCTACTTGGGTGGAATTTAGTGGTTTGATTCATGGACTCTACCTCTTTTGGGACCAAGCCCATAATTAAGCAAAATGGCTTGTTCTAGCAAAGTTGGTGTTATGTTTGTCTTGGGCAGTTGAATGATATAACTTGATTTAGATGGAAGTTTTATTACTTGAAGTCTGAAGTATAAATGAATGTTTGTATAAAAATACTTGTTTTGATAAACTGCTGTTAAAAAGTTATTGGATAGCTGAGCTAAAACGGTATTTTTAAAGTTAACTATATCCATCAAACAGCATCTTAAAACTCACAAGAAAAGTCATAGTTTTGAATAGTGTACTTACCTGCTGAGGCCCAAGTTCTGTCCTTGAAATATGAAATTGAGTGTTACATGCCAATAACTGAGGGAAGAATTTAGCCCTATGTGCTTACTTATTTTTCGTCCACCATCACAATACAAAGGAAAACAACCTCTATGTAGAAGGGTACTGTAACCACATGTGCATTTTAACATGTAATTTTGTAGACCATTAAAGCTTCATAGAAAAGTAGAAATGTATTTTGAAATTCAGAAGAAAAACTTCCTTGATGATGTTAGAGGAACTTTATAGAATTGTAGAAGTGAGACTGAGATACTTCCTCATATGTTTACAGGAGTTGTTACATTGCTAAACATGTTTAAAATGTTGCCTAATCATGCTTCAAAAATACTCATTAAGCATGGCATCATGGACTATTTGGCTGTCCTTTAATTTAAACACAGTATTTTGCATTTAATTTTCTATGTAATGCTTTGTGTGCCTCTTTTTATATCTTATTGAAATAATTGTCTGCTTACAAACAAGGCTTTTAAATGAAAGACCGGAATCAGAATTTATAAGAGGGTTCGATAATCTTGTCTCTTGGTACTGGCCACAGATTCTTGGTGCTGTCTCATTCTTGAGTTCCCACAGCTTATCGTTAACTGTCAGATTTTTGCCAACTGTACTGAAGTCAAGTGCCATATTACTCTGCAGGTAATTCCATTGGAATCAGTGAATCAATCTCATAAAATAAGGTCTTGTCTACACTGGCTTGCCTACATGGCTTGTGTAGTCATGGCACAGCTAAAAAACCCACCTCCACGAGGGGCGTAGCTACTAGCGCTGGTGCAGTCTATACTGGTACCTTACAGTGATGAAACTTGCAGTGCTCAGGGGTGTGTTTTTTTCACACCCCTGAGCGAGAAAGTTGCAGCACTGTAAAGTGCCAGTGTAGACAAATCCTAACGCACACTTCAGTGTGGGGGAAAAGTGCAAAATGTAGCATTAAAGAAACTGCACTGATGATTTACTGGTCGGAAATCCTGACTTCTGGTGCCATAAGGGTCCATTTGGCATTTCAGACCTAATCCTAATCATATGTTGTTTTGTGTCATTTTTCAGAATATAAGATGTCACCTGTTTAGTATTTTTTGTTATAGGTCATTTTTCTGTGATACTAAAGTTGCATATTGAATATTGTGTTAGTGACACAAAACTAGATCTTTTCTTAGTTTAACAGTGCTCAATATAGTGGGAACACAAACTTCAATAAGATTTTATATAGAAGTATATGTGTGTGTGTGTGTGTGTGTGTGTGTGTGTGTATAATGCAACAAAAGAAAATTTACCTTTTTAAAATTTAATATTTTTTTCTACTTAAAACCTATGAAATTTTAATTAGAGACTTTGTTAGTACATTTGTAAAAGCAACTCAAATCCGTTAGGGTTTGTGGCTTTTTTTACACATGGAGATTGTTCATACAACTGAAATTATATTTCAACTAAAGATTAGTAAATGTTGCTACTTGATAAAATTTCTGTAGTCATACTGTATCTTGTGATAAAAGTTGCAATGCTCAAATTAGTGATTAGAAACTTTTTAAACTTGTACCTTTTCTCTTAAACCTAGCTTAATTCTGTGCTTTTTAAACTCGTATACATTTTCCTCATTTTGCTGCGCTGTGGACCAACTAACTTGAACTGGCTATATTTAGTAGGCATTTGAAGGATTTTGATTTGTTTCGTATTTATTGGGGCTTTTGTGCTCTTCCTGAGCAGGGTAGTGCTTTTGTGTGTGAATTTTTTTATTTTAAATAAAATTGTGGCTGAGTGTTGGCTAGTTTGTAAGAAATTAGTTAGGTCATGAGATCCTATATGCCCTTTAGAGTAATAGGCAGTTTGAAGGCTACTGCTTCTTTTCTTCACTGTTCTGTAGCGGAGGGAGAGCACTGAATGCAGGGGAAGAGACACTGCTTTTTAATTTACTCATTAAATAGCATATCCCCAAATTTACAGAGGCACTAATAAGTTAAGCACAAACAGTTCCTATAACCTTTCTGTACTGCCAAGTATCTTTTCTGTAAGACCACCATGCATTAACCTGCAGCCCAGTTCCAAGTCCAATGGAGTCAGTGCATGTTTCTTTGCAATATCTGCTCACCTTTCTTGGGGTTAACAGGGAACTGAGGCCATAGGGGGCAGTGCAGCCCTTTCTGCTCTGAGCTTGTTGTGACCTCCAACAAGAACTACTTTCCAGAAATTTCCCAAAGCTCCGTGGCACTGGGGGTAACATCCTGCAAGTGTGACTAGGGAGCGGCAACACTATGAACCATAGTAACCTGGTTCTTTTTTTTTATACCTATTTGCTTTCTCTATCGCCGTGGCATGAAACCCTTGGGTTATAGAAAGCTGGCCTGGGACCCAGTTTCTTAGTTCCTAACTAGTCTAGGAACATGTTTTTTAAAAATGTTTTAACTAGTAGGCTGGCCAGACTTAAAAATGGTTTCACCTAAACCTGTTTCTAACTGCTTTGAAAGGTTGGCTTATTCACATGGTGAGGCCATTCATGGGAGAGGGAGCAAGGAAGGAGGTTGGTAGACTTCACCATTTTCAGTGGTTTGCTTTGGATCTAATGGGCCCATTTCTCGCCTGTGGTAAAGCTGTTTTTGTGCCATGCCAGCTGTGCAAAGCAGTCCTAAATAGTTTACCCAGCTAATGGATGATTTCCTTTGCTTGGGAGAAGTACTGGTTGGTGCAGAGTCTCCAGCTTGGCTCCTGTGCCACTTCTATCCAGCCCCCAAGGTAGAGAGCAGCCAGGGCACCCCTGTATCTAGCTGACCGATAGCTATTCGAATAGCCTCTGGGGGATGTCAGCAGCTGTCTTAATTTACAGCAACCCTGAAGCTGGTTTATGCTGGATACTGGGACTGGCACACAAATGACTTTAGGCACAAAAGTGACTTAAAGCAACTAGGCTGACTAGGGTTTGCTTTGAGCATAGCGAGGAGGATCTGGTCCAGAGTTTAAAATTCCTAATTTGAACCAGGAAATCAGGTATCCTTAATAAAGAGCCATCTTGTGCTATCGGTTTTTAAGCAGATCACCATTATTGAGTTCAGTAGGAGTTCTGCTTCAAAGTTGCTGCATTATGGATTCAGAGTAAATTTTTAATGTAGGAGTTGCCAGATCCTAGGGATGTAGTGGTCAAATTTATCATCCTAGATAGGCCCCAAATCACTTTTCTCCTACTCAAAACTATACACTACAAGTCTACACTGTTACAAGGGAATAATAGTTCAATAGCAATATTGTATGTATACAACAAGCAAAAATATACCGAGTCACTCAAAGCCTGCCAGACAACTGTACACTGGCTGTGTGAGTTTTATAGACAGGCCCTCAGAAGGCAGCCAGAAAGAAATTAAGATAGGCCAGAGCCCATTTTGCTTGTTGTTGGTTCCTCAGTGTTGTGTGCTCACTGTCTGCTTTGCAAGTACATAACCAAGCCTAGCATACTATTGCCACTTTATATTTGTCTTCTCTGCTATTTTGGATGTAATACTGTCAGATTTTTCCTGTTCTGTTTCCGTAGCATACCTTCTAGCACAGGGGTTCTCCAACTGGGGGTTGGGACCCCACGAGGTCATGAGCTGTCAGCCTCCACCCCAAACCCCGCTTTGCCTCCAACATTTATAATAGTATTAAATATATAAAAATGTGTTTTTAATTTATACGGGGGATCGCACTCAGAGGCTTGCTATGTGAAGGGTGACCAGTAAAAAAGTTTGAGAACCACTGCGGCCTGTACTGAGGATTCCTGTTTAGAGAGACCCAATAGAGTTCTAGTGGATTCTTTAATGTGAGTGAAGCCCACTAGTGCTGCTGTAGTTAATCTTATTTGAAATTTACATTTTAAATTAAATTTGGGAATATGATACATTGGCCAGTTTAATTTCAGGTCCTACTGAAATTTACTATCTACGTTGTTACCCCACTGCTATTATTTTCAACAGAATTTTATAATCTGTTCAATGAGTTTTAGTCCCCACAATAGGTTAGTGCACAGTACTTATAGAGCAATGTTGTGGGGAGTGATGCTGAGGTTGAGAGTTCAAGCCTTGCTTGGCGCATCAGTTTCTTTAAGTAAATGGCTTCTGCTATTCATTGGTGGGGGAGGGATAGCTCAGTGGTTTGAGCATTGGCCTGCTAAACCCAGGGTTGTGAGTTCAATCCTTGAGGGTGCCATTTAGGGATTGTGGGCAAAAATCTGTCTGGGGATTGGTTCTGCTTTGAGCAGGGGGTTGGACTAGATGACCTCCTGAGGTCCCTTCCAACCCTGATATTCTATGAATACCTTTAACTGGTCATACTAGCTAATCAAGGATATTGCCTTTTAAAATCATGCTCCTATTATATGGCTGAAGACTGCAATGTGTATTTAAAAAAATAATAAAAGAGCAAAACGGTATTTTTCTTTGGGTTTAGTGGGATAGTTAATCTAGTGTTTAGGGTTTTTTTGTTTTAGTAAACAATTTCACTATGGGTGTTGTTTACTCTCTCCCCTCCTCCCCCCATCATTTACATAGGCTTTAGGGTGGGTATCTAATCCAGGGTTCCAGTGATGGAGTTTGCCCGCCTCAACTTTTGGGGTTTCCACATAAGGGTGGCTCTAGCAAACCCTCAACCCTGCCGCACCCTCCATCATGGAGCCCCCTTCCATGGCATGTGTGGAGCTGTCTGCCCACCCACCCATTTGGGTCTTAAATGGGGCAGAAAACTTTGCATTTGTCCTCTGCACTGGGGTATAATTCATCCTGCATTAAAATCTTTCTAACCGAGTGAAAATACTGCTCTTCTGAAAGAAGTACAGTACATATCAATTCACTATCTGAACAGCTAAAAGTAAAGCTATCTAGCCTACCA